ATCACACTTGACACACCACACATGCGGTCATACTTCATATGATTTTGGAATTTAAATTTATATGAAATTGAGATGGTTATTTGTATTGTTTTGGTATTTTTATTTATAATTTATATGTTTGTGTTTCTTGTCACTACTTGTATTTATATGTTTAATCTATATTTCTCAAATTTAAAAAATATTCTTATTTGTTAGCTTTTTATTAGCTTTTTTATTTTTTAGATGAAAAGACACTACATTCATAATTTAAAAGAAAGAATGTGAAAATTTCACAACCTGATATCTGGATAATCCTCCAGAAAATCAAAATTTTAAAGGTAACATCGTTTTCCTTCCTTCATCAGTCAACAATATGTGACCGCGTTTTCCGGAAGCAATTGAGAGTTAATTTAAATTCAATTTATTCATCAGTCAACAATGATATATCACCTTTGAGAGGGGAGGCTACCCAAATCTTAATAAATCATAAATTGAAAAAAAAAATTTGAATATTTAATTTTGATTATCATAATACAATTTTTCTTGAACTATTGTTATCATAATAATTCACTGACATCCATGCAACGCTCAGGGTTTGAGTCTAGTGTCCAAAATATCGGATCCATGCTTTCTCCCGTTGACCACATAATCCACACTTTAATCACCACATAATTCCCACTTTAATCACTTTTTCACAAACCTTCCAACATCTGTCTACTTCATTAATTAACTTAACCCGTTGACCGCATAATGCCCGCTTTAATCACCCTCATTCATGCATATGTTTCCGTATTCATTATTTTTCATATATTTTATTAGACTTCAATTTTTACATGTTTTAATTTTTAATAGGGTTAAATATTATAAAAACAATTTTTTTTTCAAAAAGTACTCCATCCATCCAAATTTACAAGACAAGTTCAGACAAAATTAAAAATGTATATCAATAAAATTCATTAAATACACTTTATAATAAAATATTTTTAAGATAAATTATAAATTTTATAAAATTATGAATTTTTAAAACCACCCTTCATTTAATATAACCTTAAATATTTAGAGAGAGAAAAATAATGAAAGAAGAGTACTATTGAAATGGTACATTTAATAAAATTTTATTTCTATAAAATTACTTTATATTTTGAAACAACAAATCACCACTAAAACTTTTTTATGATTTGAGATGGGGTACTACATTAATACGTTATAACCTCCACTTGCATGACGGGAGATTTGGTTAGGAATTTTTTATATAAATTTGTTATCTCTGTTTCATGTTGCTAGTCACTTGTCACATGTAATTTTTATCCACAATAAGACCTGTGAAGTTCCTGGGTTGGTCCCACTTTTATGACAATCAAACTCAAATTTAAATTTTATTATTATTTTTAATATAAATATTAAGTGTTTGTATCATTTAAATAATTAAAATTCATATAAATAATTTTAAATTCATACTTTCATTTAAGATTGATAAGTAAATAAATTTATCTAAATTATTAATATAAATTTTAACAATTTAAATAATATAGACACTCAATACTTACAATCATCAAATTTAAATTCATCAAACTCGCATGGAGAAAATCATTTTTTCCGAGAAGATCCCTTGTTCCACTGCCCGCTGGATGCCATGCCCCGAAAAAATAAATAACTACTTAATTTATAAATTTTGTCTATCATTTATTTTTTGGTGTGCGCAAACTCCTCACTTATTTGATTATACTCCCTCCATCTTATAGACATTTTAGATAAAATTTTATCTATCAATAAATTTTATTAAACATATTAAGTAATTTTTTTTAAAATAAAAACATAAAATTTTAAAAATATTTATCATGTAATATATTAAAAAAATAAAAATTAATTATAAAAAAATAATATTAAAATTAATATATTTAATGAAATCTTAATTTATCTAAAATATTTTATATTTTAGGACGGAAAAACTCATTTAAAAATGTTATAGGAAGTATTATTATTTCTATGAATCACTGGTAATTGCCATTATTAACTAATTTTTAATTCTAAAATTATTTTAAAATTAATATAATTTTTTAAAAAAACAATTTTTAAAATTTAGTTTATAAAATAATTTTTTGAAAAATGGGAACAAAATCAAACAAAGTCCTGTATGTCTTCGCCTATCACAAAGCTCCTTGGTTTATGAAACCTCCCTTTCATCAACTTATCTTGACTGCACTGTATCTCACTAAGAGTTAGGTTCAAATTAAAATGTCATATCACAATTGCAATTATAAATCAGTCCGAATAGTACAATTTGCCACATTTTTTTAATGTATGATTACTGTTCTAGCCCAGAATTTTCTTGGATACTGCAATCAGAAGATCAATGCGGGGGTTCAAACTGTTATTTTTTATTTTATATTTTTTATATAATTTTAATTTATATAATTTGTTTATTTGGTCCCATTGAGCCAAAAAATCGTTTTTAAGGTTAAAACACTCGTATTTCTCCCTAACTTTTTTTAATATATAATTATCACATTTAAAGTGTTCCATAAATCATAATTTATAAAAAAAGCACAAACCTTTTTGACAGCACCACAATTAAATAATACTAGTGTAATTCTTCATCTAACTTTTAGGGAAATTTATAGCTAAGGATTGCTGAAGGAATCTATTTACAGACTAGTATCAAATTATTTTGAAATTATGTTGCATTACCAAAGGACCAAAATGTAATTAATTTTTAATGTGAAAAAACAAAATTGTCCCTCATTTAAAAAAAAATCCTCAGCCATTGGCCGCTAGAGCTCTAACACCGATGGCCAGACCACTTCACCAGAAGGGCCCATCTAAGTTCCGGTAGCAGTAGTCAGACCGTCGCAAAGCTCTGACACTGATCACTGGATCGACGAGGGAGGCAGACTTTTTTTTTTTTAAGGTAGCTAAGGTGGGGTTTGAACTCACATCCTCTTGGCCACCAAAAAGACTATTAGCCACTTTCCTTTTGATTATACAATGCACAGTTACACACACACACACACTTAACTCTATTTTCACTTTTCATGCCAACATTTATCAGGAGCTTAATGATTACTTGTCATTTTATAAATAGCTACTTGTTAAACTACTAATGAAACTTATTAAAAAATTTAATCCGCAATGATTTTTACAAATGCTTACTTATTTTTATTACCAGGAATGACAAGTTCTCATTAGCAATTTAACAAGTAACCATTTGTAAGATGACAAGTCTTATCACTAGCTTTAAAAATTTTTCTTGATAACTTGATAAGAAAATTTTACCAAAATAATAAGTTCCTATGAGGTTTTAACATGTAAAATTTTAGCAAAATAAATTAAGTCACGGCACTTGTCATAGCACTTGTCATTGTTACTTAATTTATCATGACAAGTCCCGTTACTTAATTTAACAAGTAGTCATTTGTAAAATGATAAGTAATCATTAAGCTCCTAATAAGTATTAGCATGAAAAGTGAAAAAAAAAAATTAAAATATAACAAGGCTTGTCATTTTACAAATGATTACTTGTTAAGTTATCAATAGGGACTTGTCAAAGAAATTTAATGTGGAGTGGTTCTTATAAATGTTTACTCATTTTTATTACTAAAATTTTACATGTTAAAACCTCACAGAAACTTATTATTTTGTTAAAATTTTCTTATCAAGTTATCAAGAGAAATTTTCAAAACTAATAACAAGACTTGTCATCTCACAAATGGTTATTTATTAAATTATTAATGAGAACTTGTTATTCCTGATAATAAAAACAAGTAAGCATTTGTAAAAATCATTGCGTGTTAAATTTTTTAACAAGTTCCATTAATAGTTTAATAAGTAACCATTTATAAAATAATAAGAAATTATTGAGCTCCCGATAAATGTTAGCATAAAAAGTGAAAATAGAATTAAGTATATGTATAAAACTTTACATTATAAATTGAAAGGATTTGTTAGCTTAGTGGTTAATAGATTTTTTGATGGTTAAGAAGATGTGGGTTCAAACCCAACCTTGGTCACCTTAAAAAAAAAATAGTCCGCCTCCCTCGCCAGTCTAGTGATCGACACCGGAGCTCTAGCTACAGTCCAGCCACCGTTGTTGGAGCTCAAATGGTTGGTTCAGCGAGGTGGTTGGTCACCAAAGTCGAAGCTTCAGTGGCCAGTAGCTGAGGAGTTTTTTAAAAAATTGAAAGGTAATTTTATCTTTTTACATTAATAATTAATTATATTTTAGTTCCTTAATATTGTAGTATAATTTTAAAATTATTTGATACGTGTCTGTAAATAGATTCTTCTAGCAATCTTTGGCTGGAATTTTCCCTAACGTTTATGTGTACGTGGAAGAGTCGTAAAGTAAACGTCGTCTTTCCCTCAATGGTCTCCCCAGTGGGTCCCACTTTCGTGTAAAGAAGTGAGAATAATGGGCTTAATTAATTTAGGTAAGTAAGTGTCTTGGTGGGATCGCTTCAGTTAACAACTATAAACCATATGGTCTTTTTTTTTCTTCTATCAACATATATAAAGCATATGGTCTGCCAACTGCTTTCCTTTATTATTGATGGGAATATTTGGATATTTTAAAGAAAGTTTTAGGGATATTAACTAATTTTATTGGGTTGTGAGTTAATAATTAAAAATTCATTGTAATACTAAATTCGTGGATTTAATGGTCACAACATTAGCATTAACAGTAGTTAAAAAGAATAGAAACCGGTTACTAGTGTAGACATTTTGATATTTATGCTTTTAAAAAAATCATTAAAAATAATTTATACTCGTCTACAAATAAAATAAAAAAAAGTAAGATGATAATTGGTAGCTAGGGGATGATTTCAATTTGATTAGGATTAATCCCATAGATTAATTATTTGTTCTTTATGGGATCTCGCATTTATTGATTTATCGTTTTTCCATAATCAGAGATGATAAGAATGTGACTTGCTTGTGGTAATAGCAATATAATTAATATTCTAATAATAGTCCTCCAGAACACACGAAGGCGTCATAGCAAAACTAAGGAACACAATGACGTATCACATAATGGCTTTATTTAAAGGATACATATAACAAAGGAGACAAGAAACAAACACAAGACGACTGACAATGGAGTGATGATATGATGTGAAGGCTTTTTAGTTGTTGGTGGGAGGTGACTTCTTGCCGTAGCCTATCAGGTCGCCTATGATCGGCTTCTTGCTGCTTCCCTTTGATGGATTGTTTCCATTATCATCAGAGACATGTGTGCTTCCATAACCCATATAATCTCCTATGCAGCTTTTCCCCTTTGATGCATTATTACCATTATCATTGTCTTTGGAAGCATACGTGCTTTCATAACCCATGTAATCTCCAATGCATTTTGATGCATTATTTCCATTTCCATTATTCTTATTTTTGTTATTATCAGAAACATACGTAGTTCCATAACCTATATAATTTCCGATGCACTTTTTTCCCTTGGAATTGTTTGAAGAACTCATCCTGCATAAATATTAGCATTTGATCCGCAGTTATATAAGATGAACCAGCTCGAAATGACAGAATAAAGCTTTAACACACCCACGTAGGTATATGGATGGGAAGTTGAACAATTAAACGCCGAATGTGAATGAGCCGATTGATGGTCAAATATTGTCGGATATCATAGCATATATTGGCACTTCGTACGTGAGTGATTATTTATTTGATTAAAAAAATATTAACGGCATAGGTCAAATTCCCAGATATTGCAGGCCAGCCTCTCTGACTCTGACGGCCTGTCCCGCCGCCTTTGGTCCCGCAAGACTTCGTCGCCTCCGTTACCAAAACTGCAAGTGGGTGACGGAGCAGCTAATGATTTTCATTAATCTATCCTCTCATTCTTTTGTTTTTCTTTTTGGGACAACTGTCCTCTCATTCGCTGACTGGCCGTTCCCTAATATTCTCTCTCAGTGTCTTTTTCCGAGTCAGGGAGTGTCACCTCTCGCATACCGTCTCTCTTCAATATTCTCTCTCTTCTCCTACGACCTCCCTCACTCTTTCCCCCTCTATTCTTCTCGCTCTTCTCCGAATCTTCATTGCGTCACTGTCGCCTCCCTCACGAGTCACGTCCCTCTCACACACCCAGTCTCTTCTCCATCCACTTACCCCACTCTCTGTCTCTTCTCCTGCGACCTCCCTCACTTTCTCCCTATCTAATTTTCTCTCTCTTCTCCGAATCTTCACTGAATCACCGTCGCCTCCCTCACGTCCCTCTCACACACACAGTCTCTTCTCCATCCACTTCCCTCACTCTCTCTCTCTTCTCCCGCGACCTCCCTCACTTTCTGCCTATCTAATTTTCTCTCTCTTCTCCGAGTCTTCACTGAGTCACTGTCGCCTCCCTCACGTCCCTCTCACACACACAGTCTCTTCTCCATCCACTTCCCTCACTCCCTCTCTCTTCTCCTGCGACCTCCCTCACTTTCTCCCTATCTAATTTTCTCTCTCTTCTCCGAATCTCACTGAGTCACTGTCACCTTCTCCACGTCTCTCTCACACTCTCTCTCTCTCCTCCTACCACGTCCCTCACTCCCTCTCCCTCTCCCTCTAATCATACCGTCTCTCTTCTCCCACCGCCTCCACCCGGCTTCTCTTCATTTTTTTTCCTCTCCATTTTTTCTTTATTTTTTATCTCAAACATTAAATTTATTTTTAAATAATTAAAATTTAATATTTTATAAAATTATTTACAATAATTTTATAAAATATTAAATTTTAATTATTTAAAAATAAATTTAATGTTTGAGATGAAAAAATAAAAAAAAAATGGAGAGGGGAAAAACAGAGAGAAGCCGGTCCCTCACTCTCTCTCTTCTTCGAATCTCACTGGATTACTGTCACCTCCCTCACGGCTCTCTCCCTCACGGACACTCTCTCTCTAACCACCTCTTTCACACATTCTCCTCTCTCTTCTCCGAGTCTCACCTCTCTCTCTCTCTTCTCCAATCACCTCCTACCCTCAGTATCTCTGTCTACAAGGTTCTCTTTCTTCTCCGACTCTCACCTCCCGTATTCTCTCTCTCTCTACAATCTTCTCTGATTCAGAGAAACCAACTTTCCGATCCAAGAATATCAGAATGTTAGGTCTGCGTTTTTTTTTGGTGATGCAAAGCGAAACGATTTTCCGTATGTAGCAGAAGTAATTATAGCACAAAATGATGCGATGAACTCATGGAAGCAGAGATGATATTTGAGTGTGTATATATCTATATAGAGGGGAGTTTACCTGCCGAGGAAGTGAGGCCGGCCGAGCATTACGTCGATAATCTAAAAGAACTGAGAGCTTAATTAATAATGGGCAGCGCATACCAAAGATCTCCGAATGAGTTTGTTCGATCATGAAAGTGGGCCCACCTCAGGAATCTTCTATATTTCAGATCCGTCTGGTACCCAACTCCATAAGCAGCAAAATGAAGTGAATTTCAAGGCGAGAAACGCATATTCATGATCCATTGAGAATTTCTAACAGCCCACTCCCTATTGTCTCTTCTCCAAGTCTCTCCCTTCAATCTTCACTTTCTAACTACGGGGCGACATGAAGTGATCCAAACGGACTACGTATCGGGAAGATCAATCGAGAGGAAATGAGAGGATCAGAACCAAAGAGGAGGAGGAGGAGGAGGAGGAGGGAGGAAAAGGCTGTCCGGAGGAGGAGGAGGAGAAAGACAAAGACGACCAAGAAGGAGGAGGAGGGAGGAGGAAGAAGAAGATGAAGATAAAGGGGAAGAGGAAGAGGAAGAAGGCTGGCCAAAAGATGGAGCCACAGGAATCCATAATCCGGGACGCCTCTCTGGCAACCAGATCCTGATGCGCCAAAACCGTCGCCGTCAAATCTCCTGCCCATCCCCTTTCTCCGCCGCCTGCCATCGCCACAGCTCGGTTCAACGCTTCTTCCTCATGGCGGCGCTGTCAACATGGGGCAAGAACCTCGCGAACTCGCGTGACCCTCATTGGTGTGCTACCGTTAGCAAGCACAGGCTAATGAATTATCTCTCTTTCTTGTCAAGATGACAAGATCAAACACGCAAAAAAAGATAAGATCAACATATCGATCCAGAACCAGAACATGTTCGAAATATCCCCGGCCAGAAAAGAACAGTTATATATATTCGAGGAAGGAGGATTCAAGCACAAGTTTCTATATGCAGATATGATATTTGGTTATATATACTGGGAACTTAATTTTAGATATTACCTGCAGAGCGGAGAATGGGAAGTGGCGCCGGCCGAGAGTTGCTTCCGAACCTGTTCACTGCGTGACCAGAAAGAACAGAGAGATCAATAATGCACAAATCAAGGATTTATTAAGCTCTCGTTCTATAAAGAGTTCACTGATCTGTAATTAGACATCCGTTGGATTTTGGACATCTGTTGCTTGTAGTTTTTCTCTCACTTCCATATGTACAGCTCATGTGTGTGCTGACCAATGAAATAATGACACCCCACGAATTTCAGTGATGCGTCATTCTGAGAAGAAAACAAAACTGAGAGAGACGGAGAGAGCACGCAACAGCTGGTGATTAAAGGCCTAATATATACTCATGTTTTATTTACCTGCATTTTCATGTTGTTAACCTTATTATAATTATAAAAATGGATGTATGTAAGTATGTATAGCTTCATTATCTAACGTTTGGGAAATTTGCCGGCATATGGATGCATAGCTAAGAATAGAAATACATGGTTGAAAATTATAATCTCATAATACACTCCATAAGAAAGCAAAAGCCACCTACATTCAAAATAAAATAGTTGTATGAGTATAATAAAAATAAAAAGTTCTTAAATTATAAAGTAAAGGCGTTACATTTAATTAAATTAAAAATATATGCACAATATAGATGAAGGCATTATATTTAAAATAAAAAAAATTGTAGAATGCAATATCATAAATAGAAGACTAACAGTTTTAATTTCTTTGCACAAAAGATGCTATACAAGTAAATCCTACAATCAATAGATTAGTATAAGAATTAATCACTATAGTTGATTAACATTTATGCATAATCTTCAAATGCATCGCACCGGGAAGTGAAAGCATGGCATGTGGCATTTTCAAGGGATCTTTAGGAAATTCATGATCATCAAAATATTGGTCGAAGAACAACTGTGAATATTGTTTAGAGATAGATCTTTAGGAACTTGAGTTAATGAGATGTTATGCACCTATTTTGATTGACATCCTTTTTATGCTTTATTTCATGATGTTGTAGTAATGAATTAATATTTTTTTACTTAGTAATGGAGGTTGTAAATAGATGAAATGGAATTTCTTTGTGTCAGGAATGCATTCTATTGCATGATAAAGTAATGACATATGAACTAATATAGCATCAATAAAAATAAATATAAAGTATGGTGTTCAATTTGATATAATTTTTGCTCCCCATGCATTGCATGGGATAGTAAAAGCTAATTATAATTATAAAAATGTATGTATGTATGTATGTATAGCCTCATTTTCTAACGTTTGGGAAATTTGCCCTCCTTGTCTCGCCTTTTACCAGGACAGGTTTATTTTGAGCTTAAGGCTAATTATCCGCCTGTTTGATTTTTGTCTTTAAAAATTTATTTCTTTTTTGAAAACCAAAAACTGTTTTTGTTTTTTAAAGGACACTATTTTATTATTATATATTATTTTTAATTATATCATAAGCGAATATTTTTAACCATTGGTGACCATTATTATAGGCCAATTTTTTAACTAAAAAAATTTAAATTAATATAATTTAACAGATATTTTTTGTTTTGAAAAACAATTTTCAAAAATTAATTTGCAACAAAATTTAAACAATAAAAAATAAATTAATTGCATTATTTTGGGACAAACATACAATTTGCATGTGACAATGAATTGTATGCGACTGCTTTCGGAGGGGGAAAAAAGTAAATGACTGCAGTCAGTGATCAAAAGCCACGTATGAAAGTGGGATCCGGTTTCCCTTCCCTGTCCTTCTCGGGTTCTTTGGTTTTTGTTTTTTAAGAACTTAATCTTGGCCTTCTATTTAAGGTGAAATTGGGATCAGTTAACGAGGCCCATTCAAAATGGATTCAATAAATAAAAGGAAGAATGTCAGTGAAGGACTTCTAAAAGAATTTACTATCTGATAATGATCTGGACGAATCAAATACTTATTTAAATAAAAACTTCACTTGTTATAGTTGTTTACATTTACTTATCGTCAGTCCATTGATGAAATTAAGTTACGTCCAATATTCTCCCTTAATATGAAGACTTGTTACGTTAAGAAGATGGCTGTCCGACGTCAAAATCATGAAGGCCCATAGAAACCATTTTAGGAAAATGAAGTTAACTGAAATGTAACCAATGCTCTTTTGTTTTTGACCTGAGATGTAACCGATGCGTTAATAAAGTAGGAATACCCCATAAATGACAGTCAAATACTTAAAAGGTTGCATTTGAATGGGTAAATTTAAATTTAAATTTAAAATTTTATGTTTAAAATCTCACATTTAAAATTATAGATTATAAATTATTTGTTTGGATGATGTAAAAAATTATAAATTATAATATTAAAATTTTCTGTTTGGATCTTAAGTAAAATTTTAACTTTTAAAATATTTGTTTAAATTTAAAAAGCAACTCAAACAATATCGGCAGTGCAATCCTAGTCAAAGTTGGTATTTTGGATGGCTGACTTTCACCGAGATCGAACCATTAATGCCTATGGGGATCAAACAACAGACTTTCATCGAGACCATACCACCAGTGATGACTAGGACTAAATGACTGATTTCCACTAAGACTGGACCATCGGCACCAACTAGGACAGGACTACTAGGATTGGAGTACAAGAGAAGACCAAGACTGAATAGCTGATTTCCATCGAGACTAGACTGTCGGTATCGATTAGGAGTGGAGTGCAGGCAAACACAAGGACCGGACGACCGACTTTTACTAAGACCGTCGATATTGACTGAGATAAGACCACCGGCACCAATAAAGATTGGGTAGGTTTAAGGCAAAAGATCAATCGGTGCTAACGGTTTGGTCTCAATAGAAGTCAAAAATTCAATCCATGTCATCGCCTATATTTCATTCCTGGTCAGCTCTAGCGGTCTAGTCTCTATGAAAGTTGAACATTCAGTCCAAGTTGACACGGGCGATCCTGTCCTATTCGGTGCCAATGGTTCAATCTTACTCAAGGTTGCCAGTCCAGTCTTGGTTGAAGTCATTGTCCTTGTCATCTGTCAAGGTAGGATCTAACCATCTAATCCTAATCATAGGTGGTTGTCCAATCCTAATTAGTGTTAGCGGTCCTATCATGGTCGGCATCAGCTATTCAGTGTTGGTCAAGGTTGCCAGTTCAGTCCCAATCGATGCTAGCAGTTTAGTCCCGATGGAAGTCCACCATGCAGTCTTGGTCATCACCTGCACTTCAATCCTAGCCAGCGATGGAGGCGACTATAATTCGGTCTTATTCAATGCTACCGACAAGCCAATAAAATTATAAAGAGATTGAGATATGATTTGAAATAATAGAGATTTAAAAAAGATTTTAAATTGCAAAAAAATTCATGTAGAATTTTGGATTTGAATTTGGGTCAAATCTAAATTTATATATTTTTAATCAAATAATGGATTTGGCTCAAATCCAAATCCTTATACATCTAATCATAACAAAAGGGAACCATCGAATGTGAGATATTTTAGGAAACCAATAAAAAAGGTAGATGGAATACTTTCATCACCTTGAATACTTTTTTTAATATGATTATCTAACTGAGTCAAATTCAAGTATTATTGAGTCCAATTAAAAATAACTCTTCCAAAGATAATTTTTGCATTCATGCCAACTAAACTTTGAATCTCATACTTAAATAATGGTAGCCCCTTCCATTAAAGCCAACATGTGATGGTTGATCATGCTTATACAGTCCTACACCAAAAGATGATAAAGTAAAGATTAGTAAGCAAACTCACGTAACGTTCACGGGCATCTCATAGGAAATAAATCAAACTTTTATTGTTATATTTACTTATTTGTAATTATTTATACAATTATTATTCGCTTGTACAATTCTATCCTACACCTTTTAAACACTATTATTTTTTTATAAAATTATTGAATCAAAATTTAAATCATATTAAAAAATGAGATGATAAAATTTTGAGTCCCTCAAGTTTGTCTCAAATATGAACCTCATTCTCTAAATTTAATTTTTATTGGTTTAGTCCTTTATGTTTTCTTAAAATTCTAGCAGTTCATATGTAATCCTATCCATATTTGGTCCCTTATGTTTTTATCGATATATTTCCATTGTTTATCTCGTTAGATGTATTTCTTTGTTCATTATTACAAGATATTTTTTTAAAAAAAATATCATATCAAAAAATAGGGTTAAGGTGCATTTTTGTCTTTGATATTTTATCTGAGGAGCACCCAACACCTTAACATATTTCACGTAGCATTTTTCACCTCTTAAATAATTAAAACATAGCATGCACTACTCTATCGTTGAGTAAGCATAAATGTTCATTCGAGTCAACTTGATAGGCTTCATTTTATGTGCATTTTCTCTCACCATAGACCCCTAGAAAATCATATTGTCTTGGAAAATTACTTTTGCTAATCAAAATACCCACATTGATCTATCAAATTTCTACGACCACCCGTTCAAGCTTCTTCGACCTTCTTCCCTAACCATGGGGTGACTATGACGACCTGGGTGAGCTGTGTAGCAGACATTTCGAGTGACGATGCATAGAGAGAGGCTTGGTTTGTCTTTATTTTATGTCTCAAAAATAGAGTTAAACAGAGAGAGATTTCAATATTCATTTTCACAATGATTCTATTACAAAACCTTATGAATTTGCAAGCGTGGATGTTCCTTTCTTTATGGCCATGTGCACGTAGCCATCTTCTGTAGCTGTCGTCTGGATGGATAGTAAGACACACTCTATACGTAGTCTCATGACGCAATTCTGCCATGTCTCTGCATAATTGATGTCATCTCCGCCAGTGGCAGGAATGTGGCCAGCAGCCCCAGCATCATGGTGATGGGAATCAAGGAACTAATCAAAATTTAACATTTAGTACTTTTGATTTATTATAGGGCATTAGAATCCAAAGCCAAAAAGATGAAAGAAGCCCTAAATTTATTAATTAGAAATGCCCTATATGATTAAGAAGTCTTAAAGGCAAATGAAGTTTTCCAAAATCCAATAAAAACTCGTAATATATTGGGTTTAACCCAATATATTCAGGCCCATCAGCCCAATTGGTTTTGTTATTTTTTCCTTAAATTTAAAAAAATTAGTTTATCTTATTTTAATTTTAAATGTAAGTTTAGGAAAATTAGTTTATTTTGTTTTAAATTTAAATAGGGATAAAATATATCAATTAGGATATGATCTATCTATTTGGAATCCTATATAACTAGAATTGTGTCATTTACATTTTTTTTAGAAGTTTATTTAAACAGTTCAACCTTGTATTTTTTTTTTTGGAAGATTTGATTGAATTTATGAATTGTATTTTTTTCAATTGAAGCTATTTTGATTAGTATTGTTTTTTGTGAGATCACACACCATGAGATTTTGAATTATCATAAGCTATCTTTCAGTTGCCCATATCACATGGTGTTTTAGAGCTGCTACTCTATCGCCAACTTACTCTACCTCTTCGACCTTGCAAAGAAGCGTCAACATGCCTAGGGTGACCATGGAGGGTACATGCGAAGGTGGTGCTCATGCATTCAACGTATGGCAACTTCAAGTTTTTCAATGTGTAGGTAGATCACTTCAATGAGCCAGTCCACTATGTCATTCATTGTTGAGGAGAGAGAAAGAGAGGGAGGAATATGGTTCTTTGGAAGAAGACAATGATGAAGATAGTGTTTTGCTTGTTGAGAGTTGAAGGGAAGAGATGTGGCATGGAAACAGGTGTGATAGCACCAAAAATGGGCCCCACTTTGACCACAACTAACCGACGTTTTTGGTAATTAACAGTAAAATCTAATTTGCTTTGTATTTATTAATTTAAAGTTAAAATTGTTCTGACAAAAATTTTAACATAATGTATGATATTAAAAAATATTTTAAAAATAAAAATACACCTTTATCTTAAAAAAAAAATAAGGTACTAAATATGGACAGGTGAGGGACGATAATCAGTGAAAGCATATTGTAATGAGTAGCGACTTAGGAGACAACATGGATTGGGTTATCTTGAATTCTGTACGGTTTAGCAAGCATGTCCGTACCATAGTTATGCGGCATCGGTACATTGGTGATAGTTGTCATTCTTTTTTAACATAAGTTGTAAGTCTCAAACAAGATACTTTATTAAGGTTTCAAAGAACAGGGAGCTCAATAATGCATAAATCAAAGATTTATTAAGCTTTCATTCTATGAAGAGTTCACTGGCCTGTACTTTGAGTTGAACACGAAAAAGTTGGATTTCCGCTTTTCTCCTTGCCTCGCCTCTTACCAGGACAGCTGGACAGGTTTATTTTGAGCTTAAGGCTAGTTATCCGCCTGTTTGATTTTTGTTTTTTAAAACAAAAAAAAATGCTTTTGTTTTTTTTAAAGCACATTATATTTTATTATTATAAATTATCTTTAATTATGGCCCGATCACTATTATTGGCCAATTTTTTTAACTCTTTTTGTTTTGGAAAATAATTTTTAAAAATTAATTTGCAAAATCGTTTTTTTAAAATTTAAAAAAAAAATAAAGTACATGACTGTGCAGTGAGTGATCAAAAGCTATGTATGAAAGTGGGATCTGGTTTCCCTTCACTTTCTTTTTCGGCTTCTTCCTTCTTCCTTTTTTAAGAACTTAATCTGGGCCTTTCTATTTAAGGTGAAATTGGGCTCAGTTAACGAGGCCCATTCAAAGCAGACTTAATAAATAAAAGGAATAATATCAATAAAGGATCTCTAAAAAAATTTAATATCTGATAATGTTAAAATAAAAATTTCACTTATTAATTATTAATGTTTTCTTATCATAAATCCTTTGATGAAATGAAATTGCTTCAACAATCCTTTACTGGTATTCTACCTTAAAAAAAATAAATTGTTTTATTAAGAAGATGGCTGTTCAATGTCAAAATCATTAAGGCCCATCATCCATATGTAAGGCCCATTGTAGGAAAATAAATTAGGCCCAAAGCATCATGTCACTGATGCTTTTTTGTTTTTGACCTGAAATGTCACTGATGCTTTAATAAAGGGGATGGAATACCTTGAGCAATTTGCGTTAAAACCAACCAACGGCTGTTGCCTCATCACGCTTATGCAATCCTACACCGAAATATGATAAAATAAAGATTAGACAGTAAACTTACATACTCCCTTCATCTCTATATATAAAATATTTTTAATTAAATTATATAAATTAATAAAAATTAATTATTCAGTTAAAAGCTCAGCAATTTTTCAGTTTTACTCTTAATAATTGTAAATAAAAAATAATTTCATTAATCAATAAAATATTATGATATTTCATTAAAACCTCGAATTAGTAAAAAAAATATTATGAAACCTCCTTATATTTGAGGATAAAAAAATATTCTAAAAAATTTTTTAATCATAGGAAAAAATGGAGTAACATTCATGTGCATCTCATTGGAAATAAAAAAACATAATTAATTTACTTTTATTTATTTATAAGAAAAATGATAATAAAATCTTTTTAAAATATATAAATGACAATGTGGTCTCTCAAAATATCATAATTTTCTTGAAATCCCTATAAAATTTTCTGTTATTAATGAATTTATATAAATTATTAAATTGTCCTTGTTGAAAATAAATAATTCAAAACTTTTCTTCTTATATTCAAAACTTTTCTTGTTAAATTGGCAACAATACAACAACAAATCATAACTTTTTATGTTAGATTCTTTATTTGCCGTTATTGTTGCGAATATAAGAAAGAAAGTTGTAAATCATTTATTTTCAACAAGGGCAATTGAATAATTTATATAAATTTATTAATGATAAAAAAGTTCCTAGGGATGTCAAGGAAATTATGATATTTTAAAAGACTAAATTATCATTTATATATTTCAGAGGAATTTTGTTGTCATTTTTCTAAAAATCTTTCATTTAATAATTTAAGAAAATAAATTATTTCCAACTTAAATATCTATAGTTTAATTTTAGTTGGTTGAATAGATTTGATTTGATTTCAAGCATCTCTGTGAACAAGTACAAAATTCAAAACTCAATACAGTATAAATATTGTACCAAAATAATTGATAACATAATAGTACATAATGTCCTTTTTCCAACTAATAATACATTAGGCTCAAAGGCAATAATAGTTAATATTTTGTCCAGATCGAGTGCTTTACTGATTTTCAAAATATGACAATGTTGAATTGTGAAAATGGAAAATTTGTCTACCACTTTTTGGCAAATGTTCTTTGACTTTGACCCAACTAATTATATATTCCGGTGGTTGGACCTATGATTTATAATATCGCATCAGAAATTTATACGAGTCTGTCATTTTTCTTGACCCTTTGCAACCTCCCGACTCATTCTTGTTGAACATTATCTCGTACGATTTTTTTTTTTAAGCATAGTCTAAATAAATGTAATGAACTTTGTTGTTTTAAGAAACGTCACGGATCAGATGGTCAGACTCGTTGGACTATTAGCCAGATTTATTAATAGCTTGGTTTTGGGAGTTAAGCTACAATCGAGTCAAGCTAAAAGCAAGAGGATGATTTTTTAAAAAAAAATCTAAAATTTAATCTCTTCTATGGACAAACTTTATTTTTGGACCTTTCATAATATATAATATTATTTAGTATTATTTTTTAAAAAAAATATTGATAATTATATATGCAAATGCATATATTTTTTAACATATTCATCTCTAATTTAATCAAGATCTAACTATGTTTAACAAGTTATAAATCTATAATTTATAATGTTAATGATAGTCATGTTATACCATTTTATTAATAACTAGATATATGAATTTATTTCTTATATACATATTTTATATATGTATTCAATATTAATTTTTATTTAATTATTATGTTATTAATTTGATTACCGATCTAATTGATTAGGCTATAAAAATTGAGATCCACTAATCTTTTATTGTAATGAAGATTTATTTAATTAAATATGAAGCTTTAAATATACGTTATTATACACTTAGTGGAAGGCAATATAACTTAAGAATTAAGCATCTTTATTATCATCTTGTTTGAGAATTGCAATTTGTTAAAAAAGAATGACAACTATCCTCAATGTGCCGACGCCGCGTAACTATGGTCTATGGCATGACATGTTTGCTAAACAGTACAGAATCACAGATAACCCAATACAAATTGCTCCAAAGTCCTTGGCTGTCCGTATTCAGTACCCTATATTTTTAATATGATATTTTTTTTCCAAAAAAAAACCTTGCAATAACCAAAAAAATACAATCTAACGAAATGAACGCTGGAAGTATATCGACATAGCCCATAAGGGACCAAATTTGGATAGAATTACAGATGAATGCCAGAATTTTAAAAAAAATATATAAATGACTAAATTAATAAAGATTAAATTTAAGGAACCAAGTAAATGTTTGAGATAAATTTGAAGGACTTAAAGTTTTATTATCTTATTTTTTTAATAGGATTTAAATATTAATTCAATAATTTTATAAGAAACAATAGTGCTTAAAAGGTGTAAGATAGAATTATACAAGTGAATAAGAATTGTACAAATGATAATAAAATCTCTTTAAAATATGTAAATGACAATTTAATACTTTAAAATGTCATAATTTGATCCATCAAGGTCAAATTATTATTTTTATATTTTAAAAATATTTTATTATTATTTTTTGAAGATTGTTCCTTGGTGTCAAAGCAGACTACATTGATTTGGCTTTGATTAATATTAAATCAAATTTCGAAGTGATAATAAAGAACGTTTCAGGTAAAAATACATGATACAGTCGAAATTTTTTAATCGCGTGCTCATAACGATAGCTTTGTTCTCTCCCTGTTTTTTTTTTTTTTTTTGCCACAGCAACATTATAGTCCAACTAGATTATTCATAAAATATAAAAATATAAAAAAAGTCTTAACTAGAACTTGAACAATAAACATATTTTACAGATTTTTTTTTTGTTTGCCTCGAGGGTTTATAGAATTGATTTGATTGATTCAATTTTGAATTTAAACCAAATCTAAATCAAACTAAACACAAAAACATGCCTAGTTATTGACATTCTCTTGTTATTATGGTGCGCTAGAAATAAAATGTGGAGGATAGATGAATATGAGATTCCATGTGGCATAAAATAACGAGGAAAAAGAAACGATCCCTTGTTTTTATGTATATAACAAGAGAATATGAAATAAAAGAATATAATATCCAGTAAATTTATGACTTAGAAGCTAGAAGTTGAACAGTCAAATGCTGGTTTTGGAGTGACACTAAATTCTGGGTCATTCACATAATGGGCTACAAGTAAAATACTAAAATACAACAAAAAATGGACATAAAAAAAACAACAACAATAATACATTTAATTAAGGGAAATAAAGCATATATGAATAAGAAATATAATTTGGAAATAAATTGAGATTGATGAGATTTTTCAACCAATGGTGGTCATCAGCTTGACAAATTCATCGAAATTAACTTGACCATCACCATCTAAATCAGCTTCTTTTATCATTTGATCCACCTCCTCGTCTGTTAATTTCTCTCCTAGGTTTATCATCACATGCCTCAGCTACACCAAAAACACATAACATATAATTTTAGATTCAATTATTTAATTCAGTTGTACATATTTTTATATTATAAATTATTTTTTAAATAATGCAATTTTTAAATGACACTAAAAGCTTACAAATTTTTTATTTATTTTAAAAATTATACATAGATTCTTTAAATTAAAATATTAAAATAATAAGTAAATTACATAAGTATCCTTGAACTTTACTGAAATTCCACAAACCTTTTTTTGAAGAAAATAAAATAGAAAGCCTTGTGTTAAAAAAAAAAACTGCATAAATTTTTCTTACTTTCAGCAAAGGTTAGTATAAAGAGAGAATCGCATCAAATGACCAACAAGAAGTCATTGAAAAAAAAATAAGTTCATATTTTTATTTTAATTTTTAACAATAATTCATTTTGTATTAGTCTTTATTTATGAATAATTTTTTTTGTAAATCATTAAATATGATTTTTCCTAGTACAAATTATATATATAAGTTTATAAAAATTTAAAATGTCATCTAATTGATTTTTTTCCTTAGATCTGTCAAATTATGAAAGCTTATAATATATCAATATTAAATTCATTATCAATATTAATAAGAAATTATAAAATTAACATCAAAACGTGCCATTTATAACTTATAAAACTGTAAGTTTGGCATCTGAATCTCCCTAAAATTTAATAAGAGACACGCCTAGCCATAATAAAAATTTGAAAAAAAGATCCGCAGATGTGTGGAGAGAGAAGAGTAAGATTCTCTTGAGCTCTAAAGTGTCAAACCTCAAAATTTTCTATTAAAAATGGTAATATTCATTGCATGCGGAAACGTACAAAGTACTGTCCTAGATGTGCATATATTCATAAACCATCCTCACCCACCCCATACCGTATAACAATAATAAATATATTAATATCCAGACTATAAATCAATATTACTTCACCAATCATATATATATATATATATATAAACGAAATATGATGCAAAACTTGAAAACCCAGAAAAATAAGTGAAGGTGTATTCTATAATTTTATTTGGAGAAAAAAGGAAAATCCAAGGTACAGCACATAACTTGCAAGAAAAGGTAGGTGAAAAAGAAGAAGCAAAGCAAGGCTCTCTGACTTGTGAACAAGTTAGAAATTTAAAACTAATACGGAAGTCTTTTAACAATTAGGCATTAACAAAAATAAAATTATGATATATAAATAAATTGTAAGAAATATATATACATACCTCACTTGCTGATATATAGCCATTTTGATCTTTGTCAAAAACCTTGAACGCCTCCTTCAGTTCCTCCTCTGCATCAGTCTCCTATACAGAACACAATAAATTTTACTCGGAGTGAGATATATATATATATATATATATAGTCATCTTTGAGTTTAATTTTTTATTTTGTTCAATGTGGGACTTATATTTTATTTTATTTTACCTTCATCTTTTTGGCCATGAGGGTCAAGAACTCAGCGAATTCTATGGTTCCATTGCCGTCTGCATCGACCTCGCTGATCATATCCTGAAGCTCTTCATCTGTAGGATTCTGATCCAATGACCGAATCACTGTCGCCAGTTCCTCCAATGTAATGCAACCTGTTCAGAGATTCCGGAGATTAAAATTCATGAGTTTCAAATCAGAGAAAGAAAACAGAAGCGAAGATACATAGAAGGAAAAAAAAACAGAGACTAGTTCCAGAGCTCTGTTTCTTCTCACCATCTCCATCTTTATCAAACAAGCAAAAAGCTTCTTTGAACTCCACAATCTGTTCTTCACTCAGAATTTCTGCCATTATGCTCGCAATTATTCCTCCTTCAAACTCCAACCAACACTACTGTTAGAGAGAGGGAGACACACGCACAGAGAGAGAGAGAGAGAGAGAGAGAGAGAGAGAGAAGTTTTGTTGAGTCTAGCTCAATCTTAGCTGGGGTATATGTAGATCTTCGAAGAGGGTCTGCTGCGAAATTTATTTTAAAAAGAAGGGTCAAATGAAAAAGATGACTTTACTCGGTATAATGTTTCTGGCTTTATTATGGGAAAGAATCCCAGAGGAGGGGAGAGAGAAAGAAAGCGAGAGTTGAATCTTGATCTCAATCTAATCTTCTCCTACCATCTAATAAACGCATAAAATTAAAAATATCGAAGAGATTCAAATGTTGAACTTGAACTGGTCATACTTTAGTTTTTTAAAAAAGAAAAGAAAAGAAAAGAAGGAACGCCCCTAATGTATAACACTGAGAATAGGAATATAAAACAGGAGGACAGCTGGGAAGGTTTGGGGTTTAGGAGACACAGAGCATTTAATCGAAAGGGGAGAGTATATGGGGATGTGTGAAGTGTAGCCAGCGAGCTAATGTTTTTTTTTTTTAATATTATTGTGAGTAATAATTAATAAATTAATCTTCCTTTATTTTAAACATATTTTACCAAAATTTTAAAAAAAATTAAATTTATTAATTCTATTTAAAAAATTATTAATTCTATAAATTAATATTTTTTTATTTTTTAATATAATTTTATAATTTTACTTTTATTAAATATATACATCCTCTCTCCACGATAAAATGAGGTATCTTTTAAACTACTTGATTTAAATTATAAAATATTAAGTAATTTTTATAATTATTTTTCTGACTATACCCTCATTTCGTTATTATTCATTTTGAAAAATATGAATTTGAATTTCAATTATTATTGTTAAGAAATTTATCTAAAATATTTAATGATAATATAATTAGAATGATGTATAATTTTTTTAAGAGATTGAAGTTTTTCTAACTTTTTGTAAAATCAGAAACTAATTACTAATATTTTATATTAAAGTTCAAGGAGAGTACTTTCATGACTTTTTTTTTCTTACCAATATTTAATTAATAGGGATAAAAAATTTATGATAAAATAGTATGATACCAATTTATAAATAGAAAAAAAAATCCTTTGCCTTATAAACAGGATCGAGAAGTGAGTAAATTATTCAAGTATAAAGTAAATTCAAACACACCTAAAGACCACGCTGGATTTGCTTGAAGACCACGACTAGAGAGGCAGAGAATAATTTAATCGAGTTATTTTACCCTTTAAAAAAGATCTAAAAAAAGTAAATATCGCAGTGCATGAGTCGTGAATCTTACCAACATTTTTTTTTCTTCTTTTGGTTATGATTTATGAAAAAAATTCACGTATTGTTTACTATATTATTAATTTTTGAAATGTAAATATATCCCCAAAGGCCCATTGGATGCATGCATTTTTTTAAAAACTCGGATCGGAAATAGAAGAGACGTGAGAGAAAGAAAAAGAAGGAAAACAAATTATTTGTACATAAAATTTATTGTTTTATATTCTTTCATACTTTCGTCTCCTTTGTTTTTTTTCCCCCTTTTTAGTATTATCACAATTTTTTTGTCGGTAAATAATGAAGGATTTGAAGTTCAAAGCTGCTACTTCATATAGCAGCGCGCCAGTGTGTGTGTAACTCAATTTGGTTTTTCAAACATTTTTTTCATATTATTTTAAGGTCCTCCGACATGTACTATTTATTTTAATAGTAAGTTATATATTACTTTCAATTTTATATACAGATCACTTTTGACTACTTTGCTGAATTAAGAAAAATTAGTTACCCTATCAAATTAACCTTAACATTGAATAAGTTTTTATCTTCATGCTTAACTTATACTTTCAATTTAAAAATCAAAAATTGTTTCTATCATCTTCAATTAAGATATTTTTGGATAAAAGTATTAAAGAGTCAAAAAATTCACACAAAATAACTTATACTTAGGCCATAAATTTCTTCTGCTGGAGTGACCTATACTTAGGGTCCTGAGGGAGCATATAAGATTTAGAAATTTAAAAATTAGCATTGAAAGTAGATTGGTTGTGAATTTAAATTCTAATGTTGATATGATGATCTTGTTAGTAGATAATATATAAATATTTCTATAAATGTTTTGAATCGAAGGCATATTTTAGTTTTAATAAACTCTTAAAACCTGACTCAATTAAACTTTATTTCATAAAGAAATTGAAATTGGATTATCCCCACACGCCCGTGCCAATGACTTGACTCTTCCTAGTTGACGAATGTCACGTGTTCGAACATGTGTGGGAGTGTGGGGTACCGTGTGTAGGGGTATAATGGTATTTTGAGTGTTCGATTGTTAAGATAAAAAGGCGGAAAAAAGAAAAAAAAACGCGCGCAGACGCGCACGCAGAGTAAAAAACCATTTTAATAATTAACGAAATATTTTAGAAGTGATTTTTAAGTACTCATGATTAAATTATTTAAAAATTAATGAATACATGACATGTAAATATTATTTATGTTTAATTAAAAATTTAACAAATATTTTTTCCTAAGTTATTTCACAATCATATTAATTTGGTGAAGTCCTTCCAATTCTTTTCTTTTTTTCTTAGTAAGATTTCAGGCGAGTTTTGTGAATTGAAAGTTATTATTGCAAGATATTTGCTACATTTATATGATCCCACTTGTACTATTTGAAGCCTAATATAGCTTCTACAAACAACCAATTTTTTGTAGAAAATTTTTTATGGTTATTATTATACAAGTCTTTGAAACAGTGATAAGTAGATATTTTAGAAATATTTTTTGTTATTATTTAGTTCATTATTTTTCTAATAGAAACTAAATAAGATAATTAAAAATTTGAGAGTTTTCAAGATAAGAGACTATGTTTTAAGCAAGTGATCTCAAGTTCAAATCATAATAAATATGTAATTAACTATATTAAATACTTGCTGCTGTTGTAATTTTACGTGACTCTACTTGAACTAGTTGAAGTTCAACCTAATTTCAGGATAATGTGATTTGAAACGAAAAGTTGAAGAAATTGTTTTCACACAAAACTTTAAAATCCATTTAATTTATCATATGACTCTTATATTAATAAAAAAAATTAATTATTTAGTCATTGTAATTTTGACTCAATTGTAATTTAGTCTTTAAACTTTAACTCATTATAATTCAATTTCTAAAGGTTTAACTTAGTTATAACTGAACTTTAATTTTTGTAATTCAGTTCTTATATTTTTAATCAGCTAAATATTAGTGCCTATATCTTAAAAAATAAATATATAAAGATTAAAACTATGTTAAGATTTATTGCTAATATTTTAAATTAATAAACACTTTTTAATATTTATAAATAGTATCAATATTAAAAGCTTAAAATATTTTTAATTTTTATAATTTTTTTAAAATATAGAAATCAATATTTAAATAGTTAAAACTATATGAACTGAATTGTAAGAAATAAAACTTAGAGACTAAGTTATAACAAGTCAAAGTTTAAAAATTAAGTTAAAATTATAAAAATTAAAAAATTAATTTTTTCTAATAATAAATTAACATGGTTAGTATCTACAAAAAAAAACGTATAATTTCTAATAGTAAATATAAAATATTTTAATATCATAGTTACATATACATTTAATATTTTTAATTTCCAAATTTAAAGATAAATTTTTCATATATGCTTCAATTTTGTTCAAACAAAATATTCAAAATTTCAACTTATAAATTAATATAGAACGTTCAAATAATGCGAGAGAAATTTAGAACTTATAATTTTGTTAATTCTGTGTTTAAAAAAAATCGAATTATCATTTTTTTTGTGGCCAAGAGTGATTTCCAATCTCAAGCTTGAGTGTATTTGGGTTTGAGAAGTGTGATTGGTGGGGATGGGCTTACGCGTAAGAAGAAGAAAAAGGACAATACGCGTTGGAATTTGTGTCTCTTTCAAGTTTCAATTTGGTCTTTTCCTTTGTTTATGTGTGTTTTTGTGGAATCATATGAAATCGTCTATTGGAAGTAGTCAACACTTTCTCCTATTCAAACTTCTTTTTACTTTTCTTTCTCTTGCCTTCGTCTTTCTATCTTACTTTCATCTTCATTACAGAGTGAAAATAACACAAATCACGTGGTATTTGTTCACTGCAATTAAAATATATACTAATGTTGCTCATAAAAATATATACACGCACACGCACTCATGTTACATTTTAAGAAATGACCATGTCAAATATAAAATCTATTGAATTGCATAAAAGTAGAAGGAAATCGATGTTCCTTAATTAACATCAAGGGCTTGGAAGTTGGAACTCTTTGGATAAATAAAACTTGTGACAAAAAAGTTACTCCTTCCAATTCAAAATATAAATAGTTTTTGTAAAAAATTTACATATTAATAAAATCCTCATTTTCCTATATATATATATATATATTGTTTCCTTTTTTTCACTCTTAGTCCTAATTACAAGTGCATTCTATAATAAATGAGGGATATATTCACACAAATATTTAAGTCAATAAATACAATGAGTAAAATGAATATAATTTTTTACATGTATTAGGTTGCTTATATTTTGAATTAAAATTAGTTGAGAAAAATAATTATATTTTAGATAGGAGGGAAAGCATTTCATTTGCAGTTTTACAATACTTGAATTTAAAATAAAATGTCATAACTAAATGTACAAGATTGGTTTGGAGCTATGATCACTTAAATGTGAAATTTTAAATTTGAGTTCATGGAATGCAAAAGATATATCAGTGGGAGAGTTACTTAAATTGAGCCAAACAATACTTAAATATAACTTAGTCAAATAATTATATCAAAATAAAATAAAAGGTGATAGTGTTTATTTAAATAATCCTGCAACCCTAATTTATAAAGTGCTTTTTGGTAGTGGTTGGATTGATGAATTTAGTTTTTAAATTTAAAATCTTGCATTTTAAATCTCTCATTTAAAATTCATGTATTTAAAATTATTTGTTTATGTAGTTTAAAAATTCCAAATGAACAAGAGAGGTGAATTGAAATTCAAAATAAAAATGAAAAATTTAAAAATGAT